CTCAAGCATATCTTCGACAGGAACTTCGTAAACTGTAGTGACAGGTGGCTTCTTATCTTCTTCGACAGTGACAATTTCAGTAACTTGTTGTTTTTTGCCCTTTCTGTGCGTCACTTTCTTCTTTGATATTTTCACGTCTTTGCCTTCAGGCGTTGTTTCATGGACCACTGTCACTTGTTCCTTTACCTCCTCACTTTCTGTAGGTGTCTTGTACTCTGTTACAGGAAGGAGACCAGTTGTTTCGTCCAACACATTTTCATTTGGTACTTCGTGAACAGTTGTAATAGAAGATCTTCCTTCTTCTTCGACAGTGACTATTTCAGTAACTTGTTGCTTTTTGCCGTTTTTGTGCGTCACTTTCCTCTTTGATATTTTCACGTCTTTGCCTTCAGGCGTTGTTTCATGGACCTCTGTCACTTGTTCTTTTACCTCCTCACTTTCTGCAGGTGTCTTGTACTCTGTTACAAGAAGGAGACCATTTGTTTCGTCCAACACATTCTCATTCGATACTTCGTGAACAGTTGTAACAGGAGATTTTCCTTCTTCTTCGACTGTGACAATTTCAGTCACTTGCTGCTTCTTGCCCCTTCGTCTCGAAAGCGTCTTCTTTGTAATTTTGACGTCTTTGCCATCAGGCGTTAAAGTTTTTGATACAGTAACCCGTTTTGTGATTTCGTCTTCAGACGTCCTTTCTTCAGCAACCGGTAAAAGACAAGTTTCCTTAAGCATATCTTCGACAGGAACTTCGTAAACTGTAGTGACAGGTGGCTTCCCATCTTCTTCGACAGTAACAATTTTAGTTACTTGTTGTTTTTTGCCTTTTTTGTGCGTCACTTTTTTCTTTGTTATTTTTACGTCTTTGCCTTCAGGCGTTGTTTCTTGCACCACTGTCACTTGTTCTTTTACCTCCTCACTTTCTGCAGGTGTCTCGTACTTTGTTACAGGAAGGAGACCAGTTGTTTCGTCCAACACACTTTCATTTGTTACTTCGTGAACAGTTGTAACAGAAGATTTTCCTTCTTCTTCAACGGTAACAATTTCGGTCACTTGCTGCTTCTTGCCCCTTTTTTTTGTAAGTGTCTTGTTTGTAATTTTAACTTCCTTGCCATCAGGCGTTAAAGTTTCTGATACAGTAACCCGTTCTGTGATTTCGTCTTCAGACGTCTTTTCTTCAGCAACCGGTAAAAGACAAGTTTTCTCAAGCATATCTTCGACAGGAACTTCGTAAACTGTAGTGACAGGTGGCTTCCCATCTTCTTCGACAGTAACAATTTCAGTAACTTGTTGTTTTTTGCCTTTTTTGTGCGTCACTTTTTTCTTTGTTATTTTTACGTCTTTGCCTTCAGGCGTTGTTTCTTGGACCACAGTCACTTGTTCCTTTACCTCCTCACTTTCTGCAGGTGTCTCGTACTCTGTTACAGGAAGAAGACCGGTTGTTTCGTCAAACCTAACTTCTTCTGGTACTTCGTAAACAGTCGTAACAGGAGATTTTCCTTCTTCTTCGACTGTGACAATTTCAGTCACTTGCTGCTTCTTGCCCCCTTGTCTCGAAAGCGTCTTCTTTGTAATTTTAACGTTCTTGCCATT